GTCTAGAGGACAGCGGATGTTCCATCAGTACCTCATCCTTGATATATCTGTCGATTTGCTTCTCCATGGTCTTCAAGAGGAACGACGTTAGACTGATAGGTCTGAACGCTTTAGGTGTAGCGTAGTCTGTCTTGCCAGGCTTTGGTATAAACGTTATTTTCGTTCTTCTCCAGATATCCGGCACGTGACCAATTACTAGGCTTGCCCTCATCACCTTGGCCAAGTGCGACGAGATTAACGATCGTCCGAACCTTCAGGTATTTGGGTAGAATCCCATCAGGACCTGGTGTTTTATACGGAAGGAACGTACCAATCGCCCAGCTGATTTTTTCCTCTGATATTATCTTTGACGCCAAACTCCAATCAGGTCTGGCGCCGCGTGAAGAGAGGACGTCCTCTGACGCAGCGCCCATTGTCAGGGCTTCGTTCGAATCATTCATCGCTCCTGGGAAATGTTCTGAGATAAGAAGTTCCAACGTTTCCTTAATATTATTGGTCAGGGTGCCATTTTCCCTTTTTAACAACCCTAAATTGTTCTGCTCCACCCTTTCCAAGATCTTGTTTATCCTAGCAATGTCTTGCATCTTATTCAATCCTTTGCAAAACTCTCTCCACGATTTCTTTTTTGCTTTCCGTATCTCTCTGTCTAGTTTCAGGTCAGCTGTACGCGCTTTCCGTTTGTCACTCATTCTCTTTGTTCTTCGGGCCTTCTTTCTTAATCTCTTACTTTTCTCATTCAATTGTTGTAAGTTCAGGTTCCACCAAGGAAGTTTACTGTGATAACCCTTCAACTTTCGGGTCAGTGGCCCACTGGCCGCCTCAACTATTGCCGTAGTAATGAATTCCATGTACGCATCAATCTCATCTGGGGTACCATACACCCTAGGAGAATCGGTCAGTTTGTTTCCTAAACTTTCCATGAATCGCTCCACGTTCAGCGATTTCTTTTCACTTACAATCCTACTCGCTTGAATGCCTCTGACTTTCAGAACGAACGAGATGAACGTATGGTCTGACAACGACGGGTCATCCAATACTCTCCAACTACTGAGAGCAGACCGAATCTCCATCGATACCATCGTCACGTCTAGCACCTCCTCCCTCACCGACATTGAAAACGTCGGTGTCGATCCCTCGTTCAACCAGATCAGGCCGTTATTATTGATAAAATCCATTAATTTCACACCTCTATCGTTGGTAACCGAGCTCCCCCATGAAACATGACAAGCATTCGCATCAGCGCCTATTATCATACTCGCTCCTTGTCGAGCACACCAATCAACCAGCAGGTCTAGTAATACTGTTATCGGATCCCTTTCATCATATGGCATATATAAAGAAACCACTACTACTTTCGACAAGCGAGAATTATTATTATTTCTCTCCAAAATTACCGCTGTAATGTCTTTACCACTGAATTGTGACAACAATACTGGCTTGATTCTACTAGTGTGTACTATGCACGATCTTGGCCTTCCACTCGGACACCTATTCAAAACAGTACCAGTCATACCTAAACCCTTGACTTTATCATTCACCGTCCACGGTTCTTGAATCAGAGCTACATCCATATTATATTTTGCCATTAGATTTGACAAAGCCCCCGTCGCAGCCCTGGACCTACGCAAATTGATCTGTACGAATTTCAGATTATTCGCCATGATTATTCAACCAGTCTACCGATGCAGCAAGAGGAAGTAACACCAGTTCGCTTGCTTAATAGAAGAAGAAACCAGCTTAGCAATGTCTCACCGTTCTTTTGTAACGATTTGTAATTATATCTGAATAAATCTCTTCCTTTTCCTTCAGACTTCAGCCCTTAATCCCTCAATGATTAAACATCAGTTAATTAAATCAATCAATATTTCTAAACGTCTTTTTACATCTAAATGAACATCAACCATGTGAAATCCTACGTCTAAACGTCCAGAGTTTTGCGAGAGTTCTAGATAATCAAACTTCTCCTAGGATACTACCGTCCACATTTAACAATGAATTATCCCCTTAATCTATATAAATATATAAAAAGGAAGAAAGAGAGAGTGCAGGTTACAGTTAAATTACAACCCAGTACCTTTATTCAAACATTTATTGTTATTCCTACATTTGGAACAAGCACGATTCTTTCTGATCCATTGTCCGATAGACCAACGATCCAACCTTTCCAATTATCTGTTGTCCTCAAACAGCGGGTCTGACCTTTGATTATTATTATTCACAAATGTAGCAACAATCCAGGCTTAGGTTGCCTTCTGTCTGCGTGACTATATAATTTCCCGGCTTTCCAAATCAAGTCTTGTCCACCCTTTCTCCTCCTTCGACAACAATTATCTTAGGTCCTTTTTATTCGCGTATAACATTCCTCCCTGTAATCATAAAGGCATACCACGTGACTCTCTCAAAAAGGATTGATGTACTCAAGACCAATCTCCACCTTTCCTTCTTTAGGTCTCTTTCCAAGTTTTCCAACCCAATTTCTTATTCCAAACCAGCTTCTCTTCGAATCTCGGCACTATACTTGTTGAGAGTATTCGTTATGAATCAAAGTCAGTTTCCTTTAGTTGTACTTCGTCATCCACTCTGCTATCGACTTCCACCTGTCTTTGCAACCATCATTGACCAAAGTAAAATCATTTAATTACCTTACCAATCTCTCAGCCTCTATCTTGATTATTTCAGATCATATCCATCCATCAGATAGAACTCAGAACATGTAAAACGCTCCGTTAACCTTCTATAAGGAGATCTCTTTCATATACCAGGCGTTAATAAACGTCACTCTTGATAGCTGTGAACCGATATCTTATAAAGTTTACCAACCAGCAATCTAGACCTACGCCCATAATAAAACAGAATATCACGACTTTCACTCCTGTCCTCTTTCTTTAATTTTTGTGGACTGATAACCTCAACCTTACTTGTGACCTCTACTCACCGGCTTTATCCAGGCTCCTAACCTAAGTCAACTCTCCTTTCAGCGTCCGTGTTGTTGCCCAGTCACGTTCTTTGTCCAGGGAAGCTTAAGTTGACCGATAGAAAGGATCTATCTCCCTTAAAACCTCTTCCTACAGGTCCTGAATCTAAAGTCCTCAGTGGAAGACAATCAGGAAACTA